TTTGGTATATATATATATATATATATATATATAAAATTTAATTTTAGTATATTATGCACATGGTATCTTACAAATTTTATATATTTGTTTTTATCACTAATTACTATAGTGTTATTACGAGGTTATGATATCATTTCTTATGAGAAAATGTAGCCTAAGATCATTAGTCATCACGCTTATCACTTTAATTTCGTCCATTATAAAAAAAACAAAAATGAATTTATCGTATAAAAATTTATCAGAAATTTTTGTTTTTCAACTAATTGATAAAAAATTCGTTAATAAAAGTATTATCGGTAATGATATAATTTAAGTACAGGACATTATCGATGAATATATATTTCGGTAAAATTTGTCAATAAATGGCATGTCAGTTTTTAATGCAGTAAACCATATTTTTTACCTACCAAACAAACATAATGACACTTCAAGATAGTAAAATTCGAAACAAACAATAAACAATACTAGACAAACATCACAAACATGTTTATAAGACAATGCAAACAAAAATAGAGTTTTAAAATATGTTTGTAAGTAATGTATCCACACATAATAAAAGAAAGTAAGGTGAAAAAAAGTCATAATAATATCATATCCATTAGAATTATTTTCTTCTTTCTTCAGGGTTTTGTTATTTTTGTTGGGATTGTGACTGGACTAAGGTGACCTAGGTTGGAGTGGATTATTGCTAGGTGGATTGAAGGTAGTTAAAGACAACATTGTGTAGTTTAAGGTAAGAATCTCATGACCTGATTTTGCAATGAATCAAACATGCAACTTAAATCACCATAAGCATGATCACGTGCTTCTAGTCAATATGTGAGGTGGATAATGACCTTCTTAGCACTAGTGGAAGAAGATGCCTTTTTGTGAAATGTCTTTGTTTATCTTAAATGGGTGATCAGTGGAAAGAACCTACGATGATAGGTAAACCAACAACTTTTCCGATCACAATTTAATGTGAATGTCTTAGTGTGTCCCATGTAATGTGGACAAACTAATCTACCATGTTTGCTCCAACCAGATAACATCTCATATGCTGGAAAAACATTAATAATTTACAACAAAGTTGTCATCATAAGGAAATTTTGCTTATTATGTCTAAATATCACTCTACAACTTATTCAAATCATTAATCAAAAGCTTCAAATAAACATAATGAATGCATTGGAATTAAATGAACCTAGTATTAGACAATATAAGATTATGTCATAGACATCTCAAATGGAAGATTAATCATAGGTCAACATACAAATTAAATTCATTCGAACATAGATCAAATTGAACATTACGAGGATCACCAACAGATGATGGATGACGAAGCATTCATTGTACTTAAAGTTGACTCGATCTTTTATGAGTTAGGACAATCAAACCTTTATAGTTTAAATAAATTCAAACTTATCTTGAATTTAGATTTTCAAAACTAAAAGAGTATCAGTATATACAATCAAAATTTAAATTAAATAAATTGAACTAAAATCTAAAAAAAAAAGATAAACTCATTATAACACAATTAAAGATTTGAAAATCTTAGCCGCTGTAATTATTGAACAGTGTAGAAGTTAGTAGTAATATGAGTATATTAGGTAAAGTGTTTACCAAAAAGGAAGAGTTAGGTGGAAGGGAAAAAAATGCGGCAGAGTGCGTATAAAGCAAAAATGGATAGCGGAATTTTAACTAAGCCGCGGAAGTCAATTAACAAGGAAACGGCTTTTACAATCGAAAGTTAATGGGTTAGGTTCAACAATTACTCACACCAATTATATCATAAAAAGGTAACTTTTTTCTCATCATTCTAGTAAATACGACGTTCTGTTCTGTTTGTTTCTATCCTGTTAACGAGGTATCCACTGCCCTTGGTCCCCTTCTTATGTTCCTTCTTACTACAAACCAAAATCTGTCTCAACTAAAGGACAACATTCTTCATTCTTTCTTTCCTAACCCACATGTTTAATTCTTTATATCACTATTTTTTTTTATTTTCTAAATCTATAAATGCAAGTTTGTATAAGGTAAGA